ATAAGCAGGAAATCTTGAATATTTTCAAATATAACTTTTAAAATCAAGGCTTTGCACTTTTTTTAAATGTGTTTGCTTGAGTTCTTAGCTACGTAATTGGCCGGTTTGAAGGCAAACACTGGTAATGCTGTGAAAACAAGCATCACTGTCAGAGAAGCATTTTTTTAAAAAACTGTCTTTAATCTCTTCAGTGAGCTGTTAATACATCAGCCATAACTTCAGCACAGCTACAGAGCACAGCTGTGTTAGGATTCTGGCAAAGGGAGAGAACTAACTAGCACTCAAAATGTTAGGCAGTATAACACTTCTAGAGAGTAGGTTCAGAATCTTTCCATCACCCGCAACACTGGGACACAACGTTCACTTCAGTGAATGAGAACTGAATAGAGATCACACATAAAAAAGTACCTTGAGAAAAGTACAGTGAGCGCAACTTCCTAAATAAGCCATTTTCAATTTATACTCAGGTTATTACAAAACGTGAATAAAGTATTCAGATTTATTTTGTTGTGCTAGTTAGCAATGTCCATGGGGAAATATGCATCGTCATCATGTTCATTTGGAATGAGTGTCTGAAAAGAAATACTGTTGTCTGTTGGGAGCCAAATCAACTGTGATAGAAATGGGTCTGCTAAAAGATTAGGTCTGCTCCCTACTAGATACGTTGAAACAATTTTTTATATTTAAATACACCCATTCATACGTACTCAAAGACATACTTCTAGTACCCTTCTGCCAAAACGCCTCAGACTTATCTACTTCATTTGTGATTCTGACAGTATTTCTAAGAGGTAAATACAGGCAGAGAATAGCTGCACTGAGAAGCTGTCTCATGGTCCTTTGTGTTGGTGCTGATCTTAATAAGCTTAGATTGTGTGACTTAATAGAGTATTATATAGAACAACTAACAGAAATAGTTCTCAACATTCTTGAGGGAGTAATAATATTCATATAGAAAACGTGATTCTACAAAGCATTTTCATACACATCCACTGGATCTATGCTGTAGTCTTATCTCTAAAATAGCAGTGATGATGATGATAATAATAATAATAATGATAATGATAATGACTTACGCGAGATGACCCAGTAAGTGGAGGAATTGGGTCTTACGAGAACAAAGCCCATGATCTGACTTTCAACAAAAGTCATTACTTCAGCATGAAAATAAACAGAGCATTATTGAGATCATGTCACTTTCCGGACAATAAATATTTGTAAGCAAATAAATGATTTAATGAGTAAATGAATACAGCACTGTAAACAAGACTCTTAGGGATTGCTCTCTGCATTTTGGGGTTCATGAAATACTATGAATTTCACTTTAATAGACTTTGTTATCAATGACACAGTTACAGCATTATTGGGACTGGTGCTCTCTACATATTCATATTCATGCTTTATCACAAATTCATTAGGAATTGGTTACTACAGTACCAAGAATAATAGTGCCATCTAGTGACACTTCTAGTTATTGCCTCTAAAATTGCATATGACGACATCTGTTATAAAAAAAGATTCACCAAGACAGCGGTCCCGAAACTTTTTGCCACCAGGGACCAGTGTTCCTATGAGAATCTAATGCCTGATGATCTGAGGTGGAGCTGAGGTGGTGATGCTAGCTGGGGAGTGGCTGCAAAAACAGATAGATGAAGCTTCAATCACTGCTCACCTCCAGCTGTGCGGCCCAGTTCCTAAGAGGCCACAGACAGGTACCAGTTCGTGGCTGGGGGTGTGGAGACCACTGCCCTAAGAGATTGAGTAGAATGCGATAAGCGCAATCTTTGAGTCTCGCCATTTTCCTGTCCAAGAAACCTCTTCTCAAAATTTCAGTATGTGATAAACTTTCACAGCCTCATTCATATTTCCCAGATGACATGTTTATGGGATCTATGCACACCAGATTTTTCAGTAATTTATATGTTTATATTACAAAGATTATGTTCCTTATCTTTAAGACCTACCAATTTTGGGATACAATATTGACGCAATTACTTTTTATGACAAACAGTATTAAATATATATATTGATTGTAAAACATCCTGTTTTTAAAAATATTGTTAAAAAAACAAATTTACAATTAAGAAAATTCAAGTATTTATTCATATATATTTCTAAATTTCTAAATTTCTTTGTGCAATTTATATCAGGAAATACGATTCATTAAATGTATAATTAAATATAATTTTTTTGTAACTATCAATGGCTTTCATATATGACATATAGCATACAGAAATTTATAAATCAGAAAAAAATTTTGGTCAGGCTACAGATGGTAATTAATTAGGAAATTATAGGTTTAATGAAAAACACTGTACCTCACTCAAAAAACTTGGGTGGTCCTGGTTCATACTGTCCAGGTATATAAATTCGAGCAAGTCAGGTAAGTTCTGTAACTCAGTATTCTCACCTGGAAAATGGGATAACAATGCCTACCTTATCCGCTTCTTATAGAGTTTTGAGGATCAGATACAATAGAGAATGCTTTTAAACCTCCTCTTGATGGTAAGAAACTAGTGGTGTTATTTCCCATAATCATTTTACTGGGAAAGCAGGTGCTGGAGCTAGACTGCCTGGACTCAAATTATGGCCCCTTATACTGCTTATAAGTTATGTATCCTTGGAAAGTTACTTCTCTACTCCTCAGTGCATCATCTGTAGAACAGGGATAATAAACCTACCTACCTCAAAGGGCAGTAGGGTAGCATGCTTAGAACACAGTAAACATTTAGTACAGTTTGAACAACATAATCACACACACACACACACAATCCCTACTGCAATAGCCAAGGGATGAATTTTTAACTATGTGGTTCTCAAAGAGAAATAGTAGAGGGTTTTCATCATCATTAGTATTTATTGGACACCAGAGAGGAACAAGGTCCCAGCCTAGATGCCTGACAGTACTGGATTCCACTGCTCTCCTTATAGGTACTATAGAGGAAATAGATGGGATGTCAGAGCAACCTAAAGCATTCAAGAAGCAACTAATATTTTCTTGTTTTTTATCTTGAAAACTTTTCCCCTCCCAATCTTTTAAATTTAGCTTTAAGCAGAGCAATAGAATAAGTACAGTTAAAATGATGCCAGAGAGATGGTAACAAGACAGGGTTGGAATGAAGGAAATAGGTAGGACAAGGAAAGGCATTTGATAGCCACCTCTTCTATTTCCCAAGCCTGAGCAGCCCTCATGTCTTGCCTGCAGGAGAGCAACAGCTTCCTAAACTGGAAGTCTTCCTGCTTCTGCTCTAGCCCCAACTCTTATTTTTCCTGCCCCAAACCCTATGATTCTGCACTTTCCACAGCAAACACCTTATGTCCTCTTGTGTTCTCCTAATGCTCCTGGCATGCATGACTTGAAAGGAGCTGTTTCCATGTAGAAAGCCCCATCCTGTTCATCACATAGGGCCCCTCTTCTTGTCATTCAGATCTCAGTTTATCATCTATCTCAAGAGGCCCTCTGCCTCATTTGCTCAGTTCTTCATCCCAAAGGATTTATCCGATATGGCTTATTGAGCCTCTATCACTAGAGAACGTGAGCACCAGGAAGGCATCGTCCTTGTCTGTCCTGCCCCGGTTAGCCCCAACACTTAAAACAGTACCTGACACAAAACAGATGATTGGTAAATGTTAGTTCAATGGTGATTAAGATTATCCCAGTAATTTTCCCTTTTCCTTAAATATACAGTGATTCCCCACCTGGTTTGATACTGCATGGTGACTTTAAGCTTGAAAGTAGAAAGGGAGCCAGATGTGGATTCTTGTACTTGTGGAAACTTAGGTGTTTTGGCTTTTCTAAACTTCAGCTCTCCCTAAAAAAGCAGAAATAATACCTGCCCTACTTACCTCGTGGGCTGTGAGGGTTAGATAATAAATGTGAAAGCTCTTATGACCTGCAAAACACTGTACTAGACAAGAATGGAACTGCTCTCATTCCAAAGATGATGAAAAGGAAGCCCAGAAAAATTAAGTGATAGCAGCAAGTGACCAGGATTTGCCTACCACACCAAAAGCACAAATATAATGTAATTTTAAGCAAAATACCAATACATTTTTAAGTGAGGAAATAGATGTTAAGTAACATCTAAAAATCATTAGAAATATTTTCTTCATGGATTTTTTTCCTTTTTTAGGTTTTCCTCCAATTCTAACCTTGCCTGGCCTTGAGGATTTTAAATGAGCTCATAGCAGCCTTGTCTGTTTTTCAGTTCTTCCCTACAGTCTATACCACATGACTACCTTCTATTTTTTACCTGGATAGAATTTTCTGAAACTCTGTTCGAATAATCAATTCCAAAAAAAATTATTTTAAGTTTCAATGATGACCACAAAGTTATTTTAGTATGTAATGGAAATGCGTTGACCTTTGAGGTATTTGGGCTTCTCACAGACAGCACAATGGCTCCAGCACCGTATGCTCTGGAGTTAAGTGCCCTAGGTTGGAATTCCAACTCTCACTAACAGTAATTCTGATCAATCACTCAACTAACTCGAAGCTCAGTTACCTCACTTGAAATGTGAGGCTAACAGATATCTATGTCACAAGGTCGTTGGGAAAATTCAATTAAAATTGTCTCTGTGCAACACTTTACACATAGTAAATGTTCAATAATAACTATCGTGGGTTTTGCCTCATCTTCTGAGACACTTAGATCAATATAATGTTGAGCGTTTTCTCAGATACATTCTATATTTATAATTTAGAAGCTTAAAACTTCTGATTTATTAGAAGAGTGAAAAACAGTCTAACTGGTTTTTACTGCATGATGTTAATTTGTATTTAAAAGTTCTGAAGTCCAGTGCCCTGTATATGTGAAAAATCAGTTTAACCATAAAATCTGAATTGTATAAAGCTAAAAATCTGAAAATAGGACTACCCCAACCTACCACTCATTTAACTTTCCATTATATTCCATTTGAGTCAAAATAATTTTGATTTCAAAATAGCATTTTTATTATATAAAAATGTAAAAATCCAGCAAAACCAGAAATACCAAATATATTTTCCTGGGCTTTCACATTTGTTGATTTTTATTCGCAATCTTTTTCAATTTACAACCTCATCCCCATCTGTAGTCTGATTATACAAGTGCTAATTGGCAGAAAGGTCTAGAATAAATACATCAAAAAAAAGAGGCAAAGCTGTGAAACTAAGTTGCATGCAACAGGTCGATAAATGTTGGGGAAAGTGCTGGGGAAATAAAACAGAGTAAGACAAAGAAATCGAAAGGTTTTAGCTAAAGTTCTTTCAATCATCTTTATCTTTTGCTCCATGTTTAAGGATGCGCGTGAACTCAATGTAATTGAAATTTCCCTTTTTGTCAATAGGTGCTTCTCTGTACAGCTCATCCACTTCCTCATCCGTAAACCGATCTCCCATTGTCGTCAGCAGCTCTCTCAGGTAATCTTCCTGAATGGTGCCTGCAAGGCAGTAGAAAGAAGGGTCATATATACTTCCTGGCACTTTAGTGGTTCATTTCTAAACTAGGTCAATCTTACAAAATATTTCAGAATATCCATATTTACACAAAGTAAATTAGTGAACTAAGACAATATGTGCTATATCATTATGTTTTCCTAGTACTTTTAGAGTTCTTTATAATGTTAGATTAAATCATTTTAAAAGCTCAGTTAACAGATTATATGCTTACAATATTAATTTGAAGCATTTTCTAAAGGAAAAAAAATCCTGTATTTCAGAGATAAAAAAGGGGGAAGGGAAAGCTACACAGAAAAAATGATTAATGCCACAATCTGTGTAGCTTTATGACCCACATACCTGTGTCCTAACCATTCTCAGTCACACTGTCCCATTGTAAATGATAGTTCCCCTTTATTTGTTTCTTAAAAATTTATATTTTACTAATCCTTTCATTTTCTAAAAAGTGTTTCATATACTCTAGAATAAGGCTGGGCATCAACAAAGAGCACTCACTCACCAGTTGCTTCTTCATCAAAGCAAGCAAAAGCATTTCTGATGACATCTTCTGGATCTGTGCCATTTAACTTTTCACCAAACATCGTGAGGAACATGGTGAAATTTATAGGCCCTGGAGCCTCATTCATCATGGCGTCGAGGTATGCGTCCGTTGGATTCTTCCCTATGAGTTCACATGTTAACATTTAAGAAACTAAAGAACTAATTTCAATAAATAATTATTTTGTTATCATTATGCTCCCCGATATATTTTTTAAAGGTACGTCATCATCAAATGAAATCAATTTTTCAATTAATTTGCATTAAGAATATTTTTAAAAGACAACTTTTGACCACATAAAAAAATCTCTGATATACCATATAAAAATGCACTCTGGGCTTAGGTTGAATGTTGTTCATTCATTAATTACTGTCTGTAACTTTTCTTTCACTATTTTAAACAAAACAAATACCTGATACTACAGACCAGGCAATGGCACATTAGCACATCTTAAATGTTGATAACATTAAAGGCATCAGGGCATTTCAATATCAATATTTAGATTATTTAAAAAATCTAAATATTCATATTGCCAATAGTGGTACAGTTGCCCATGAATTGGTATACTTCAAAACTTTATTTGCAGGTTGGTCATTTAAGCTAAAACTATTAGGTTTGTTTAGTACCTGGAGATCATTTTGAACAATGTTACATACTACTTGGTTGCCAGACATATCACAAATGCTGTTGACTCGGTCACTGAATTGCAGCCTTTAGTATTGTTCATCATGGGAATCTCAATCTCAGTTCCAGCTGAGAACACATCTCCATCTTCTAGTACAAAGGTGAGGGAACTGCCCTGACCCTTCCCCCGAAATTGGAAGAAACTCCCCTAGAATGGCCAGGCATGTTAGGAGTAACAGTGGGCTCCTCTTTTTCCAGGTATTTGTGAGGTCGTCACTGTGTAGGAAAAGGATCACTGAGGGGTCTGGAATACTGGGTCTGAATCCCAGTTTTGGCACTGGCTGTGTGACCTGAAGGAAGGTGGCAGCTGCCTTTTTTTAATCTGTAAAACAGACTGGTTAAATTTGGTATCTGAAAGGTCCGTTCCAACATTAAGTTTGTATAATTCTCCATGTAAAGAACATCTATAAGTTAGATATTCATATTTAAGGAAACATTTCAATATTATACCCAACTACGTGCTCATGATAGTCAAATCTAGAATTATGGTTCATATGTAAAGTTTTAATCCTGGAAATCTGGGTGAAATTTAAGTGCCAAGTTGGCATCTGTCTTACTGCATTACAATCCTCATTATACCTATTCAACATAGCAATACAAAAATTAGCCCACAATTAATCTCAAGATTCACTGAATAAGCAAAAGTAGCTGAAAAGATCTATTTTTCTACCTTCAGATTTAACCTAAGTCTCTTGCAACAATTCTTTTGGGGGGGAAAAGTGACCCAAAGGTGTCATGAGAACATGAGTACAAAAAAGACATAGGGATTTAAAATGAACTGGCTTAGGCTAAGCACTTATGGACCCATTCAAGGTGTACAATATAATTTGTTGATTTGAAAGGTGAATACATGTCTTTAAAGGCATGGGATTCCCCCAAACAGAAGGCCCCAAAGTCAATCTCTTAGCCTACACTTGTTTATCCAACAAAAATTAATTGAGCATCTACTAGAATTACGGCACAGGCTTGAGTGTTCAATATTTGCAATATAACTAAGTCAATTTTCCTCAGTGGTATTCTTCAGTAGTAGCCTGCCCAGAAGAGCACTCTTAGTTATTTTGAGTGGAAAGGCACTGGGATCCGACCTACCTACAAGTCAACAAATTAGATCAGTATCTTGATTCTACTCTCAACTCTGAATAACAGAAATATCACAAAATGTTAACAATTGGTGAATATAGGTAAAGGATATACTCATGTTCGTTACTCTGTTCAACTTTTTGTAGGCTTAAAAATTTTTGAAATATTATGTTAGGAGAAAAAATAGAAATAAGACAGAGGAATAAACTTGTGTTGTGCTTACTAAAAGGAAAAATATAATGATCTCTCTCTCTTTGCCCTCTGGACCTTTAACTGCCCTTCTGGCTAAGAGTCCAGTACAACAAACTCCAGAGTGTAGAGCCCAATTGGAGGCCACCCCTGACTCATACCCCCTTCCCTGCTCAGTCACTGTGGTCTATGGAGAACTCCTAGGCTTGCCATTCCTTTCTTCCCAACTCTAAAATCAGTGTTGACTCGGGGCAGATCATAGAGGACTGCCCCTCCCTTCCTTCTTTTAAAGATCAAAACAAACAACAAAATCATACAAGGAATAATAAAATAATACGCACAAAACCAAAATAGCAAAGGGCAGTTTAGGTCTGCTATTATCTTTACATTTTCTTTAGTTAAAAAAAAAATCATAAAAAAAATTGTGAAAGTCCTTTTCCCTGTGTTCTCTTGTCTAATAGCAGCGCCCTTTTTCTTCTGAGACAATCATCGTTTATTACTGGTACCTCCTCTCTATAATCTGTCCTCAAACTTTATTACTACCTATGCTGTATTATTAGCTACATGTTTTATTTTAAATTCTGATATATTGCCACATAGCCATCCCCTGATTTTTCAACTAATAGACCTATCATATTTAGTTGACAGGAACTGAGGCCTGCCTGGTTAAGTACTTGCCAGGTCCCCACCTCTGCAGTTTTATACTCTTATTTATGACTGGCTAAGCCCTAACATGGCAACCCCCACTCAGACATCTCTCAATAGGCCTTTAAGACAAAGACAGAAATATTTGTACATCACATGGACAATAATTTAAAAAACGCTGAACTGTTATTTTGGGGAAGCAGGTATATTAAGTATATAAAAGTCTACCTAGAGAAGCAAGCATATCATGCAAATCCTCCTTGTCAATGAAGCCATCTCTATTCTGATCAATCATGTTGAAGGCCTCTTTGAACTCCTGAATTTGTGACTGGTCAAACATGGCGAACACATTGGATGTTGCACGCTGGGGGCGCTTCTTGGTGGTCTTGGTCTTTGCCTTTTTGCTTGACATGGTGGCTGTTTAATTCTAGAGTTAAAAAGAAAAGGATATAAAGTAAAAAAGAATGCATAAAACATTAAGCAAAAAAGAACTCATAATATCTAAAGTTAGTGAATAAAAATGTAGAATTATTACTTCATTTGAGTAGGAATAAATATATATTTAAACTTTATTGTCAATGTGACAATTAAATGACTAGGAAAAAAAGCAGTTTTGAAAAAAATTAATAAACAGAATAGAAATTATTGATGTGGCTCCCACCCCCAATTTCATTAACTCATATTAAGTGGGAATTAATTTTAAAATATGTATAAATACCTAGCATTGACTGAGTGTTTATTGTGTGCCAAACGCTGTTATGAAGGCATGGGGCTTCCCTAAAGAGAAAGGCTCCAAAGTTCACGTCTTACTTTTATAAGGGCTGTCCCTTTCAATCCTCACAAAAACCCTATGCAGTAGGTACTCTTTTTATCTCCATTTTACTGCAATGTTGCATAACCTCTCTGTTTTTTCAAAACATGGTTTGAAAACCAAGGAAGTTCACTTGATCTTCAGTTTTATAGCAAAACATGATCTCTACTTTAATGCAAGTAAGAATTAAGAGAGATGACATACGCAAAGAGACTAGTATAGTCACTGTTATGGTGTATGTTCAAAAGGCTCTCATTAAAAAAAAAAAAAATCATCGAAACCTATTCGTTACTCTTTTCTAGCTACATTTTTATTTCTCCTTTCCCTTGACAAAACTTTTAGAATATCAGTCTAGTTATTATTCAACTGTTTCCATTTTCTCATCTTCCCAATAACTCCTCCATTCTTTGTCATACAGCTTTGGTGCTAGCCTCCAATACTCTGAAAGCCACCAATAATTTCAAAGTCAGACAGAACGGACACTTTTCAAACCATTTTTTATTTGCAGTTTTAAATAATGTAAATACAACACAAAAATACTATCAACTTTGGAGTTAGAAAGTCATGAGTTTTGAATCTCAGCTCCACCATTACTAGCTACATATAATCTCAGAAAACCCAAGGACATCAGACTAATTTTTTGATCTAATGTCTTATTCAATCTTCACTACTTCCCTATGAGATAGGTACTACCTAGGTTAGAAAAAAAAATTAATGACCCTTGTATAGAAAAGAATTTAATTTTGCCCAAGGAGAGATCTGGCCTTTGCCCTCAGCTCCTGGGAAGTAGTCTCTAAGCCTTTGGAATGTCATGCCTGACAGCTGGGGTCTTGGGTCATACCACTTCTAGCAATATGATTTATCGTGGGGACTTTGGGTCACATGTTAACAGTGGACCTCTAGAGGGGCTAGGGACTGAGGTCAGTTATGGATCAGTCAATAGTATCTATATGACGAATCTCCAATAAAAACTATGGCTATCAAGGATCAAGTGAGCTCCCCTGGTTGGCAATACTCCGTGAATATTGTCATACTGTGTCAAGAATCAACAATGTTCATGAGAGAAGACTACTGGAAGCTCTGCATTTAGAAAACTCCTTTACTCTGTACCATGTGTCTCTTCCCTTGGCTGATTTTAACGTGAATTCTTTTACTGTTCTAAACCATTACCATGGGTACAACAGCTTTCAGTGAGTTCTGTGAGTCAAAGCAAATTACTGAACCTTAGGGTCATCTTGGAAACCCAAACTTGCAATTGGTGTCAGAAATAAGAATGGTCTTGGGGATTGTTCTCTAACTCTGCAGCCACACAGTGTGAAAGCAGATGACCAGCTGGGGCAGTGGCTAAGCAAGGGAATTTTAGACCTGGGTCTCTAGGACTTCTAATTCTGGACTTTTAATCTACATTGTTTCTTTTTCTTTCTTCAATCTAAAAAATATCTCACTGGGTGTTCTGAAGTTAGAGGTAGTGCTGTAGTTTTGAACAGAGCAGACAGAGACGCAGTGGAATGACGCTGTAATTTCTTTTTTAAAAAAGTTTATTTTTTTTATCTATACTTCACTTAAAAAGTATACATTTTTATATGTATATGTTATCTATAGAAACGACATACACAGACACATAAAATTTAAAAAGTGAGGCAACTCTGTGGCAAAACAAATAATCTGAAGAGAATTTTGGCCCCCAAAGCAATGACCATCCTCAGTCTCTTTACCTTCTATAAGCCAAGTATCTTGCCTTTCCCACTTTCCCACTCTCACTTTTAATTCACTGCATTCTGGCTTTTTTCCCCTCTACTGCAACTGCTTTCAAATTGCCAAATCCAGTTTTAATCCCCTTGGACTACACTGCTATATTTAACACCATTTTATCCCTCTTTTCCTCAAAGCCCCAACAGCTCTTAGCCTTGGTGAACAGTCATAGTAGAAATGAATTGTCCTAAATGGAAAGAGAAAACAGGGTTCCCAACCTTGAAGACTTTACACTCTGAGGGAGACTCCTAAACATACTGGAAAGACAGATTTATGTAAATTGTTGTGTTTGACTCGGTGACACTAACTTATTCTCTCTCAGTTCTCCTATTTCTATGATTGATCTTCTTCCTCACCTCCACTCAAAGATTTATGTTTCAGATTAGCAGTCTATGACTTATTAAAGTTCTTTTCACTCTCTGCTTTCCTTGGATGATCTCATCGACTCTCACTGTTCTGATATTACTTATGTCTCCCAAGTCTATTATCTCCAAGCCTGACCTTTCCCTTGAGCTTGCAGATTCAAATACCCAATTGCTTATGACAGGCATCCATTTGGATACCCCACAGACACTCATAATCAACAAACTGAAAACTGAATTCATTATCTTCTCCTCCTAAACTTTCTCATCCTTGTTTCTTCTGTTAATGGCACCATCATTTACCCACTCACCAAACCAGAAATCTAGGAGTCATTCTGACTCATCGCTATCCCTGATGAATCAAGCTCTGCCTCTTAAATATTTCTCAGATTTGCTCATCTTCCTCATTCCTGTGAGAACTCCCTAAACTGGGCCCTCACCATCTTTGTGTAGAATATCTCTATGGCCAACTAACCAATCTCTGCTTCTTGGTCCTAGACAAACTGTTTTCAAATAAATTCAAACTATACCAGGGAAACCAATGTACAGAAGAGAACTCCATAGTGGAATGGGAAGAGAATAAAATATGAATGGCAGTCCCTGGAATCATGCAATGTAGCAACCTGATTTGGGTTTAATCAAGCACAGCAGTACTGTCTATCAGTCCTGGTCTTGGTTTAGCATGAGAGGTAAAGGCTTGAAACCTTTACCCAGTACTGGTAAATGAATGTTTAACCCATATATCTTAAAAAACAACTAAACTCTACCCTTAGACTATAGTTACAGAAAATATCCATATAGAACATAATGAATAAACCTCAATAGCAGTAATAACTTCTAGCTTCCTCTTCAAAATTTTTATTATTTTTGTAAATTTCTAATATAAACTAAAGGTTAAAGTCAAGGTTACATGTAGTATTCGTAGAAATTACAAGAAAGACAGGTTTACAGGAATACTGGTATTATAGGTGGCTGTGGTATCAACATAATTAGATAATAATCTAAATGTTTGCAAAATCTCCTGCAATAGTGATGTGTAAATCAAAACATGGGCACCACAATCATTACAAAGCAGATACTGCTTGTGAACTTCATTCAGCCTATATGGCTTTATTTGCCTAGGAACGATGCTCATGGAGCATATTCTGTTCACTACCTCTGACTTCCTTGACATTATTTTTAGGATTTTTCCTTTAAGTATTTAAGTTAGCTAGTTGCTGTCGCCATGGGCAAACAAATATGGCACTCACAGCAGTTAACCTTCTGGTTTTAATCTTGGCTGCACATTAAAAACACTTTGGAAGTTTAAAAAAACTGATGCCTAGGTCCTAGTCTAGTCGAACAGACAGAATGCCTATTGGTGGGGCCCAGGAATCTATATTTTTAAAAATGTATCAAGTGATTCCAGTGTACACTGAAGGCTGAGAATCACTGAGTCAACCACTTAGAAGGCACTAGCAAAACAAAAACAACAAACAAAAAAACAAAAACAAACTTTTTAAAAGGAAAGCACTGGCTGTTTATGTATTTAGTTCCATTTAATTTTTAAAATTTGGTCATTATGACTTAACAGAAATGCCAGAGACCTGGATTCTACTTCCAGTTCTGTCATTCACAAGTGGTATGACCTTCGGTCATTTTAGATTTCCTGGGTCTCATTTTCCTCATCTATAAAATAAGAGTTAGGTAGATCAAAGTCAAACTGGAAATACCAAACTATATACAGTCTACAGGAAGGTTCGTTTAGTTCCCCCAGGCATGACTTCTAAACGCCTTTTTAAATAATTAAATTAGTTTATCAACATTTTAAAAAAATGAATATTTTACTTTAATAAAAACAAATATCAGACATCTTGAAAACAGCATCCCCGAATTCCTGTAGATAATGAGTATTCAGTGCGCAATCCCTACTACTCCCTATATCTTCCTGTCACAGTCAGTATTTGTTTATGCTACAGCCTGGCCCCTGAGCAGCTGAACTTGTTCCCTGACAAGGTGGTAGCTAGGCTCCAAGATGGCCCTCAACACTTCTCACGTCCTCGCGGAGTCCTCTCCAGCAGTAAAAAGGGTTGACCTGTGAAACCGTAGGGGAGGTGAAATAATTTTCCTTCTATGCTTCTGAGTTCTTGGCTGACATCACTGTAACAGATTAACAAGAAAAAAACCAAACAAGTTTATTAACATGTATACCTCATGTATACATGGGAGATACCCAGAGAAAAGCCAATTCTCAGAGGTGGCTTAGAATTCAGGCTTAAATATCATCTTCAGCTGAAGAAAAAGAAGAAAAGTGTGGGAGTAGGAGAGGCTAGTTATGAAAAGTAACCAGGAAAAGTGCAGTAAAAATGGGTTAAGGCTTGTCATGCTGACTTAAATCAGGGCCTTCTCCACTAATAAAAAGTCTAAAGTTATCTCCAGAGAATAACCTTTGTCCTTCCTGGTAGAAAGGTAAGGACACCTTTGCAAATTTATGTCCTGCCTTTAGGCAAATAGGGGGAGGGCAGAGAGTTTCTTTGTGTCTGCTAATTCTAAATTGCCTTCAGCTCAACAAATATTTATGCCAAAGTGGCATATTTTGGGGTGGCATCTGCTACCCTTTATAACCAAGGGGATATTGTGAAAATAATGGTGTGACTTTGTCATAATAGACATTGCAGCTTCTGCCTTGCTCTATCTTGGATCACTCAATCTTGGGGAAGCCAGCACCAGGTCATGAGGGCACTACACAGCCCTAAGGAAAGGTCCATGTGGCAGAGAACTAAGGCCTCCTGTCAATAGCTAGCATCAACTCACCAGTCATGTGAGTCAGCCATTTCACAGGTTGATCTTCCTTCAAATGATTCCATACCCACCTGACACCCGGACTGCAACCTCATGAAACCCTGAGCCAGAACCACCCAGCTAAGCTGCTCTGGAATTCCTCACTCTCAGAAAACTGTTTTCTTAAGGTGCTACGTTTTGAGGTAATTTGTTACATAGCAATAGAAAACTAGTAAAAACCCTATGTTTTCTTGGTATCTTTAATAGTAAAATAAGGCAATGCCTTTATTTCAGAATTATAACCACAGAATTTTAGAAAGCTCAAAGGGGTCACAGTCAAGTTTGCACTGACTAGAGAATTTTCTATTTCTAGTTAGAAAATTTTAATTCCTTCCATTCAATTTCTTTCCAAGTTCTGTGGGTTCCTCTGTTAACTGCAAGGGAGTCACCCCTTCTTCAACATTCCTATCACCCCCATCCTATTTTTCTGGCTGATTCCTATGTTGATTTGCTAGTTCTTCCATCCTAATTGGAGTTTCCTTCAAAGCTGTGTCCTTGAATGACTGTTTTTTTGTTGTTGTTGTTGTTTTTAAGTAATGGCTGAAAAACTGGTAACATAAAATTACCATTCAAAAATAAGGTAATTAAGGAGAGAGGAGGAGCCGGTTTTGTGAGCGAAGGGATAATAAAGAGTTCAAGTTTTAGACAAGTTAAGGCAGAATGGTAGGTAGAAGAGACATCCAGGGCAGGACTCTTAAGGGGGTCTCCTTTAACAAGGCCTAGTGCTGAACAGAGGCACAAGGTGAGGCCTGGGAGTGGATAAACACGAAAAAAACAGAGAGCAGGTCCTGGGCTAAAACCTAAGGTCATTTCTTATTCAATTCTCATCTTCACCAAGGTCTATGCTAATTGGGAGGATCAAATGACTGGATACATAAACAACAGTCTGAAAACAGCCATCATAAAAAGAATTTAGTATTTAATCAAGTTAAACTACTCCACAAAATTAACCTCACATACTTAATGACATGATTGTTTTTTATGCTGTGTATTTAGGCAAATATGTAATCAGTTCCATAAATTATATCTATTATTTTTTTTCCAGAGCCCAACTCAAGTTTTACAGCTTTTCTCTTAACATCAGTTAAACTTTCCCTGCAGTACACGTATTTTAATATTTAGCGCATACTATATAATGCTGTCATTTCTTCATTATGGGTCTCTGATCATCCCACTTGGCAGTAAACCTTCCATCTTTTGAACTCCTACATCATTTTGTTTTATTACAATGAAATTTATTTATGGTGAAATGTACAGATCTTAAAATGACTTTTTGTAAATGTGTACGCCCATGTAACCCACCATCCCAATCAAGTAACAAATGTTAATATCACTCCAGAAAGTCAATCATCCTCTCCTACTGGCAACCATTACTCAGAATTCTATCACCAGAGATTAATTTTGTCTTTGAATTTCTTGTAAATGGAATTATACAGTGTATATTCTCTGTGCCTGACTTCTCTCAATATAATTTTTTTGAGATTCATCTATTTGGTAGTTCATTCTTTTTTTACTGCCAAGTAGTATTCCATTGCCATGCCATTTATACATATACGCTTTTATGGCATAGTCTTTCTACCTTGGAATGCAGGGCCTAGTAGAGTGCCCTAGTAGAGTGCTCGATAAATACTAATTAAGTGAATACATACATATTCTTCCTATCACATACAGAATTACATATACAAATGCTCATTATAAGGTAGGTCCTGGATCTGACTCGCAAAACTTTCTCTATGGTCTACCCGTGGTTTAGCATAAACTCCACTGAACTCTTCCTCAAGAGATCCTTAACAAAATTACCAGCCACCCCTTGTTCCAAAACCATAAGAAATAGAATAATAGTCAATAAGTGAATGCTAAATATGTGTTAAGTACTGGTCTAAGCATTTCACATGTATTATATTTAATGATCCCTATTTCTTAGATGTGAAAATCAGGACAAAAAAGCCACACAACTAAAAAAAAGGCAGAGCGTTAGATCCAGGATCTGTACTGAAGAAGTCTAGTTCCAGGGCTTGAACCACTACTCCCTAAACCCTGCATATAGGCAGCTGAAATTCTGTACCATGAAAATGTAGATAGCCAGTTGGGAGTAATAAGCAATGCCACTGCACAGCTAAAGTGTAAAATGAGGAAGAAAGATCCCAATCAGAGTTGCTGGCAATGAAAATCATCCCTAGATATCTGGTGTCTTTGAAACTTGGGAGAGGGACAACCAGCCTCATTTATGGACTGACTCAAAGTCCTCTTATCTTTCCTAATCCCAGCAATCTTGACCTGGGAATCTGTCTTCAAAAGTCCCAGTTCATCTTGTCTAAACTTAGTCTCATTAAAGCACAAATGAGTATCGACTCAGCCGTCATAAAAAGTTGTCATTCAACAGAGCCTGAACAAACAAAAAGTCTTGCATTTTTTTCATGAGGTTCAGGAGGGTCCACCTACTGCTTACAGAGAAAATGGGTGGCACTATGTGAATTCAAGTAACCTCAGGCAAAATATCTCACCTCTCCAGGTTTGTTTCCTCAATTATAAAATGAAAGATAATCTACAAGGTTCTTTTAAACTAAAATGTTATGGTTCTTTTCTTACCAAAGGACCAGTGCAATTCCATCTTAAACAAAGGCTGCCAAACTAATCTTCTAAACAGACCCCTTTCTCCATATTATTTCCTTGGTGAAGAATCCAAAATGACTCCCTAATGCCTCTTACATATCCTTTATTTCTCCTCAAGTTTTCAAGACATCCATTAAAAGGCTCCACTTATCTAACTACCCACCCTTATTTCCAACTATTATTCATTACAGCTCTGTACCATTTAGGCTAGTCTTCCCACCGTCTCCTTTTCACGCGACACAAATTCCCACCTTTTGCACTTTCGGTCTTGTTACCTCCTACCACGGATCAGCCAGAAATACTAAGTTCTCCTTTCCAGGACTGAATCCAAGACTTTCAATGAGGTCACGATTCATTTTTAAGGAAAGCTTCCTTTTTTTTTATTTATCCGTTTCTTCAATCAATATGAATGAACTATATCTTAACAAGGTGCAAGACAACTCTTTCGGAAATCATTACATTTTGGTCTACACTAACCACGCACTCCGGTGCCGCTTCTCTTATTGTTTCCTTGGACACTTTACCTAAGGCCAAGAATCCTGCACCAGTAAAACTCTCGTACCACCCAAAGCATCAAGCACTATGCGCAGCACGAAGCAGGTGCTCAACACCCTAATCGATGGACTGAGCCTGCCAGGCCAGAAGCTGGCAGCCAGGCCGCCGGGCGGTCAGAGGCACCAGGTGTGTGAAGTCATCCGGGTGACGCAGGGCCAGAGACCCCGCCACCTCTTCTGGCCAGGCATTTCCCCAGGCCGGTTTCATCCTCCCTGGTTCCCCTCGCCCACCCTGACAGCTCCCGCAGCCCCCGGCCCTTCCTGCTCGGGCTGCCTGGCGTAGGGTCTGGCCGCGGGCGCGTGGCGGGAGGGGATGGGGGACGAGCGCAGCCCAAGGGATATCGCGAGCGGGGGGGTGAGCGCCACTCACCGTCGCCAACACCAGAACCCGCGGTGCCCTGCACGAGACGACGAGCGACTGCGATGAGCGATGGACTGAGGCGCGACAGAGGCCGCGCCCGGCACTTCCTGCCTGGGGAGGCGGACCGGAAAACACACCGGAAGCGCGGCGGGATCCAACTCCGGACAGGGGGATGCGGCCGGCGTTCTCGCTGAGGCTAGAGCAAAGCCCGCCGTGTGCTTCCGGGAGCCAGGCTGGGGCCGACGAATACGCCGTGGTTTTAGTTAGTTTCCTTAGCCTGGCTGCTCCGTAGCGGCATGCGGCCGTAGACCCCCCGCCCGCCCTCTCCCCCGCCTTCTGCGGCCGGTTCCCGCGGCCCTTCCGCATTCCTGTGCCGCCCGGCGCCCGGCAGGGCCAGGAATTTGACCTGGGCGGGGCGAGGAGCGATCCCTCGAGGTTCGGGGGTTCCCGAGCGCCGGAAGCTGCCCACCCAGGGCTGCCATAGTTAGCAAATAAAAGTACAGCTGGCCTAGTTAAATTTGAATTTCAGAAAAAACGAGTAATTTTTTTAGGTAGGTCCCACGAAATAACGAAATAGAGACGATTAAGAGGGCGGCGGCCGCCTGCCTGTTGAAAAACCCTTTCTTCATAAACAGCACTCCAGCCCGAGTTATATCATTTACTCCTGCTCCTTTCTTACCCTCAAATTATAAGGCTTACTTCCTTACCAGGCCACGACTAGCCTATGAGTGTTTCATTCCCCTTTCAACCACAGGAAAGTTTTATTCAAATTATTTGCTTTTTTTTGGTCATTAAAGAGATGACAATTACACACACACACACACACACACAATCGCTCAGACACACTGATAATGTTCTTCGTCAAAACAAAACTACGAAGCTACATTATTCACCTTCTGTTCTAGCTTTTGTTTGTGGTTATAACCTTCAGTTCCCTCACCTTGGAATATGAATAGCACTATTTCTGAATAATGAAGGATAGTCAATAGCAAATCTTTATTGAGCTCTTGTGATTGCCTGAACTTGTGCTGGATGCTGGTGAGAATAATTCAATTATACTCTAGAAATGTCTGATCAGAAATCTAGAAGTCTAATCAGAAATTCCCAGGTGGTAGAAACTGTGTTCAGCACTCTATAGCTGTAGTTCTTAGTAGCCCCCATAAAACCGGGAGGGCTTGGAAAAATATTTTTGAGCCCCAACCAGATAACTCAGATTCAGTAGGTTGAGGGTGGGGCGATAATTTGCATTTCTAATAAGCACCCAGTTGATGCTGAAGCTGTCCTCATCCCAGCCAAGGTCCAGTTCATACCTGAATGCATTTTCTCTAGAGTTTGAACAGCA